CCTTTGGGCAGCCTTGGTGACCCGAAGCCGGAGAGGGGCAGTCATTGGCCGGTGCGGTGGGAGGCAGTGGAACCCTGCGAGAGCCGTGTGCTCCTTGACTGCTTCAACAGGACCAGTGCCCGGCGGGGGAGAGCGCTGGCCTTCATCATCTGCTCGGGTAAGAGCTCGCCCCAGCACGATCCTGCTCTTTCCCCAGACCTCTCACTCGCTCCCAGCCAAGTTGCTGGGATGTCCCCAGCATGCTCCCTCCCCTGGGAAGGGTCCACTGGGCTGGATGTCCGGCTGCAGGGCAACAGCCCCATCCCCATCTACCCCATGCCCCCCATCCACCCACTCCTGCTCTTCGTCTCCTGCGTGCGAAGGCAGAACAGGAAATCTCCCCCTGGCGTGCTTGGTTCCTGGCTGTGGCACCCTCAGCCCCAGGCTTCGAAGGCAGCAGCGCTGCAAGTAGGAAAAGCTGGGGAGTGAGAGCAGTGCACAGCAAGCGCCATGCTATCACCCCAAAACCCAACACCTGTGTGCAGGGTATCCCAGCAGAGCCCAGCTCCCTGCTCATCCACCACTCTCGGGTGCTTGCCACGAGCATCTCCGTGCCATGAGCATCTCCCAGCGGAGCAGCTTGGTGCTGGCATCGCAGCACAGAGAGCTAAGCCACAGGGTGAGGAGTGGGCTTTCTCCGAGTCCTGCCATCTGCCCCAGCTTAAAAGCCCTCCTGTGGGATCTGGGGGTTTAAGGGGCTGCACAGCGGCAGCTGGCAAAGCGGGCTTCCCCACCATGTTTCCCACTGGGACAGCTCAAAGCTCCTCAATGCATGGCCCTGGTACAGCACAAGGGGAATTCGAGATGCCGCGACCATCCCTGGGCCATGAGCTGGTCCTGGGGGAAGGAGGCCCACGTGCCAGCAGGATGCCGAGCCCCGTCAGCCAGCCGCGAGGTCTCCCTGTGGGTCTGACCCCTCTCTGTCTCTCTCCCCCAGGCCCGCAGCCCCAGGCCCTGCGCAGGCTGGCGTCTGGCCCCACGCCGTGCGAAGGGGACATCGAGGTGTTTCACGAGGGGCGATGGCAGGTGCTGTGTGACAACTGGGCGCTGCGGCGTGAGTGGGGCAGGCAGCTGTGCCAGGAGCTGCGGTGTGGGAACCTCTCCTCCAGCACCGAGATCCAGGACCCCCCCTCGACAGGTGTCACCTGCGGGGTCCCTACCCTGCACCACTGCTCTGCCAGCCTTGGGGGTCCCCGGACCTGCTCCCGGACCAGAGTCGTGTGTAAGCCAGCACACCCAGGCTGATGCTGGGATTTCCCTGTGTGAACGCCTGGGGAATGGGCAGAGGGTGCGAGCTCAGGGCAGGGGATGAGGAAAGCCTTACTGGGGCTCCCAGCAGGGTGGTGGGTGCTCAAGCTGCTGGCATCAGCCTGGGCACAAGGGTCTGGTCCCGGTGACACCCGTTCTCTCCCCAGGCCAGGACTCGAAGCCGCTTCCCACCGGCACACCGGCAGGCACCATTGTGAGCATCTGCCTGGCCCTGCTTCTCTTCGGTGTTCTCCTACTCATCTGCGGCCCTCCTGCCTACAGGAGACTGATGAAGAGAAGTAGGTGATGAGCTCTGGGGACTCTCCTCCTTCTCCTCTTCCCCCCTCCTGCTCCGCCATCACCATGTG